CTCATCAAGGAGATCCTTAAATACCTAAACTCCTCAGAATAGAACTAACTCTGTTGCTTTGGTACCAAATAAAATGCAGTTAAAATTTATAGGGTATTTTTAGTATATCTTAAATATATTTATATCTCAAAATAAATCTCTTTGAGTGTTCAAAAAAAAAACAAAATGGAGAAGATCAGAAAAGTACTGGAGTGGGAGTGGTCTTTGTAAGGACTTGGCTATTTCATTGAAAGTCATCCTTCACTGTTTGTAGATACTGTCAAACAGCTGGTTTTACTAACTTGTTCTTGTTAAATTAAAGGGTTGCTTTGGTCTTGAGCAGATTTCAACAAATTACTTTGCAGAATGAATAGAAACAGTAGCATCACTAGGAGTGTTTGGTGAGAATGGCTTCTATGCTGTCCCTGGGGTTAGGTATTAAGTCAGCCCACCTGAGTAAAGCATATTCATACTGCAGAGCCTGCACATGCCGGTTATTTTGGAGGGTACATGCAGGCATCTCCCTTTCTCTTCTCTACTGGATGTGGAGTGGGGAAGGCGAAGACGACTGTTTTTGGGGCATGATGCTGACTACATAACCCCTAACAAGCCACTTCCAACACTGCTTGGGGCAGAAGTGCATGTCTTCCAAAGGGTTGCACCCTGGAAGTGCTCCAAGAAGCAGGGCAGGGGGCTCCTCGGGGTGAGTGGGGGGGGGGTGGCTCACCATCATGCATGCCCTGCTGGTCTCTCTAGGATCAAGGGTGGACCCACCCCTGTGACAACAGGCAGCACCATCAGAGACATGCTCTGTGCCAGCAGAACCAGGATTGCAGGGTCGTGATGTGGGGAACGGAGGTAGGGGGTTAGGGTTGGGGAGTGGCTGTGGATGAAAGAATGGCATTGAGCATCCCCTTTCTGCCCTGAATACCCACACCAAAAAAATGGGCAGTGTGGGTAGAAAATACTTTATGTTCAGGACTGAATGGGGAGGTGGTGCCCAGGGGTCTTCAGAGAGCCACCACTTTTAAGGCTTTTTGGGAGAGGGTAACTTCTCTCTGATGCCAGGAGTGCCAGCCACCTTTGGGTCTTTCCACAGTGTGTCTGCCCTCAGGTGACAGCAGAACCAGACTCTAGCCAGAACAGAGGCCACCTCAGCAACCCATGGTGTGATGCTACAGTGGCTAAAGTCCGACAAGGCAGGGCCAGGGACATGCATTTTCATCTTATTTATTAGAAGCATTGAAAGAAAGAAAAGGAAAACAAAAAACTCTGGGGGAACTTATTTTGGAAAGTCCATACCAGGATGAGGAGAAAAAAAAAATCATGTCATAAAGAAAGAAATCCCAAACGTGCAACAGGTGCCTTCAGCTTTTACTCCAGGTCTTGTAAATAAAACATGAAAGACTCACAGAAATGGAACTTAACACACACATGGGTTTGGCAAAGCCTTTTTTTCCCTCGCACAGATTTCCCACCACTGATAAGTGCAGCCCCCTTTTTTTCCCTTAACTAATGTGAAATATATTTTGATAGGTTAAGTTTATTTTTACAAAGAGTGGTTTGTAAAATAAGCTTGTGGATGCTAGGCGAGGGGGTGAGAACCATGTGCACAAGGCGAGGTGGGTTGTGGGGGGTGTGTGTAGAGAAACTTTTTATCTTAAGTAGCCAACTTCCTGATGGTAAGATCTAATAAATCATTTTGGAAAATATTAAATTTTAAAAGTAACAGATACAAGCTTTTCAGAACTCCACTTGAGCCACTGGGTGGGAACAGGTAAGAAAAAGTCTACAGTAACTTGGTGAATGTAAAGTCTTCATTTAAGAGGCAAGGTGCAGTACCAAAATCCATGGACAGAAAGAAAAAAAAATCAAGCTTCCAATAAAAAAAGAAAAGGCATTTATATATTCCCACTTTCAGAGGGGATGTGAACAAATAGCAAAATGTACTTGAACCCAAGAGCCCACAGTGTGGAGCCCCTTCCCACCTGCAGTTGCCCTTCCAAGAGGACCCTATGAGAATATAAGGGCAAAATATTGCTCTGTGGCATATTCTGAAAAAAATATAAAAATAATTTCTATGGTACAGTTTAAACTTGTAAAATTTCTACATGACATAGCATAAAATCTACAAACAGAATACACTTAAAAACACCTTCCTTTGACAATATATTATTAAAAAAAATATATCCAGATATTACATGTGCAGAAAATGTGAATTAAATTACTGAAACAACCTCCTTCTGGAAATGTGCTGTCACTTAGAGACATCTGACCTTCCTGGAAAGGGGTATTTGGACAGACCAGACAAGGTCACTCACAAGCAGGGTCTGCAATGCACTCTGAGCCCAGGACGTGTGCTCAGGCGGGGCTCTCTCAGCCTTTCTAGAACTGGGACTGGCTTTCTTCATTTTCTCCAGTACCTATAATCCACTTAACCTTCCCCCTGGTCCACAAGGGCCCCCAAGTCACAGAAGGATATTAGAGGACCTCTTGGCCCACATGTAAACAACACAGCAGTTTCTAATAGTTACTGTTCAGCCTGATAAACTAATTTGGTTTGAGAGAACTCTGGCCAGGGACCAGGTCTAAAGAGCTCTTTTGAACAACATGGAACATTCCTGGTATACCGGACTAGTAGGTTTAATATAGCAGTGAGTTCTCTCACTGTTTCAATACTGTGTAGAGGAAGGGATCCAGATTTTTCACAAAAGGAAACAGCTATTTGTAAATAATGTGGACAAGCACCCCAGGTGCCCTGGCATGCCAAGTCACCTTGTGACCACATGAAGTTGGGGGCCTTCCGCACGGCTGGACCATGGTGGCCAGTAGCTGGATCTCAGGCTCTTATTCATGGCACACCTATCAGATGGGGTGAAGGAGGGGACTCTGAAATTCAAGGAGATAGAATATGTCATCCTTTTTTTTTTTTTAAACAATACCTATGGATTACACTGGCTGGTTTGGAATGTTTTCTCTGGTATTACAATGAACCATGTTTATTCTCAGCTTGCCCCCACTCCCCCCCCCCCCCCCGCCCAAACTTTTTTTTTTTGTTTTAACCTGGCATGAGAAGATAAAATGTTTGCATAGCCAGTTTTGGAGATTTCTGGTTGGCTATTTTAATATTAAAAAATTTAAAAACAAACATAAATTGACTTTATGCCTTCTTGTGCACATGAGTTTGGTTTCTGAACGCAAAATCAAACATTTTCAAGGTTGGCTGTCTCAATCCTCTAAGAGTGAGGGGTGAGAGCTATAGCCAGTGTCTACATGTGATGCAATACTGCCTGGCAACGCAGTTGCTCAGCATAACACAAAGAATCAGTCCAAAAAGCTGCCACAAACCCTCTCGATGAGAGATTCTTAAAAAACTTTTTTTCTGAGTAACAAAAGAAACCCCAGTAATATGAGTGGATTACATTGGATGTTAGTAATTACTACACATTGAAAGTATGTTCGGCATGAAAGGTAAAAGTTCCAAAAGATTTCTTAAAGATTCTATTTAATAAATAATTTTGATGTAAGGAACCACTTAAGCAAAACTTGAATAAATTACTGAAAACTCCACGTGCTGTGGAATAATTAAAAACAAAAAGGACTTACTCACAGGAGATACTCAAATTACTATAATTCTTCAAACAAGTGAAAAAAAATACCCTCCTTTTTTTTTGTTTTTTAATTTTTTTTTTCGTTTTTTTTTTTTTTCTTTTTCTGCTGCTCTTTATGTCATAGGGAAAAGCATCCTTTCTGGAGAAGGAGAAGCTGGGCCCAATGAAGATATGGTCTACCTCCTGCATTTTCTAAGGATACACCCACAGCAAAGCTGGGCGCTATCTCCTCTCTTTTAGATTTATTGGAAGCTATTCTAAGGCTCTCGCAGGTTTTGAAGTATTCTTTCGCTAGTGAGGATTTTACCCATCTTATCCGTATTTCTTGGAGACAAGATCTCTCTTTAGTGAGGCAGATTTAACTGCTCAGTGTCCTTGGCCAAGAACGGTATTCTTCAGAGGTAATCTTAGAAGGAAGAGGCTGCATATTGCTGCTCAAAACAGGGTAGCTGAGGACACATTTTTATTTTCCTCGAGAAACGTAGGAGGCACCAAAAAAGGGATCGCTCAGAGATGGGGCTGCCCCTTCAACGTGTTATGGAGCCACGGGCAGGGTGACCCTGCCCTGCAGAAGGGACCCCAATGGGAGTGGCGCCCCTTTACCGGGCTGAACCCAGACAGATGCAGGTGAAGGTGGGGATGGGCTTCCTTCCGGGCTTCCCTCAGCCCCTTCCCTTTGGAAAGAGATGCAGGTCGGATGTGAAAGCAGCCTAGAGTGGGGGGCTTACACAGCGACCAAAGGGTCAGTTCCTCGCCTCTCTCCTGGGGCACCGATGACCACCTCCTGGGGGCCCTCCGGCGATAGTTCACTGCAGAAGTGTTTTCAAAGGAGAAACGTGAGCAGGCGGTCAACTTTGCTTATACCTAGGCATTTCCAGATAGAGTTCGGAACCATGTTTTTTGGACTCAAGTTGTCTTTGGAAAGCTCCTGTCACCGGGGCTGCCCGTACCGGGAGGGATCACTGCACCCCACCCCCCGCGCCCCCGCGAGGTAGGTTGTCCAGTGCCCGTCCGGGGACGCCTGCGGCTGTGATGGCAGTGAGAATGTTGCCCGAGCCGGGGGTGGGGGGCGGGGTGCGTGGGCGGAGGTTTTGTTTAAGAGACGGCGCCGTGTGTTACTAACGGGCCCCCGCGACCACCGGGACGCGTCAGCGGGCGGCACAGCGCCTCGGGCCCTGCAGGAACTCGGCAGGGGAAGCGGGTGCAAGCCCGCAGCGCAGGAGCCGCCGCCGCAGGCCCCGGGCTGCGAGTTTGCTGCCAACCCCCGGGGGGTACCGACCGCACTCGTGTGGCCGCTACATGGGGGTCGGCCGCTGGGTTAGGGGAGCGGGGCGGGGCGGGGCGGGGCGGGGCGGGGCGGGGGGGGAGAAAAAGAAAAAAACGAAAAAGAAACGAGAAAAAAAATGTAAAACACTCCCTTCTAAAAACAAAGGGCTGCAAATTTCTTTATTTCTCTTATCGAGGAACAAAAATACTCTTGCAATGGCTATAGAGTTTCCACAGGTACGAGGCAGATGCTAGCTAGCACACCCACTTCCGACAGTATGACTTGTTTCCTATCCGTCTACTACCTGAGTGGCGTCAGTGTAGGTTCAGGCACCATGAGGGACGTTTGACCAAACACGCACACGGCACTGACCGAGGGGTCGCCGGCCTTCCGGTTGACCAGGGCACGTAAAAAAGACACCGACAGAATGGAAAAGGAATCCTCGATGGAAAAAGCCGGCGCGCGCGCCGCCCTCAGGGCCGGGCCCCGCGCGACTCGCGCCGCCGCCGCAGCTCCTCGCGGTAGCAGTAGGAGCAGTAGTGCTCGGTCTCGGCGCGCCCGTAGAACGCGCAGTTGTCGCGCAGGCAGCGCCGCTGCGCCGGCCCCGGGCCGCCGCGGCCGCACTCACCGTTCGAGCGCGCGGCCGGGGCGTGGGCGTGGGCGTGGGCGTGGGCATGGGCGTCGGCGTCGGCGAACTCCAGGGCGTCGCGCGCCGCGCCGAAGCCGTTGCTGTAGGTCTGCGACTTGTGCTCGGCGGCGCCGGCCCCGCCCCCCGCCGCCCCCGCCGCCCCCGGCAGGGCGCCGGGCCCCGCGCGCGCCAGCGACTCCACCGTGTTGACGGTGCGCAGGGCGGCGGCGCGCGCGGGGCTGTAGCTCTGCGACGACAGCGAGCGGTTCTGCTGCGGGTACGTGGCGCACGGCCGCAGCGCGCCCACCGCCGGGGCGCACGCCTCGTCCCGCGCGCCCGCCGCCTGCACGTGGATGACGCTCTGGCGCGCCGGCGCCGGCGGGCTGCGGCCGGGGGGCGGTCCGCCGGCTCCCGCGCGCCGCGCGCCCCCGCCGGGGCCCGGGGAGGCCGCGCCGCCCGCCGCCGCCGCCCGCGCCGCCCGCGCGCCCGCCGCCGGCCCGGGGCTCGGGCGCTCCTTGAGCTTGAGCACCAGCTGCGTGGGCGGCCCGGCGGGCGGCCCCGGAGACGCGCGCTCGGGGCCCGGCGCGCCCTCGGCCTCGGGTCTGCGCGGCGGCCGCTTGGCCGTGGAGGCGGCGGCGTTGGCGGCGGCGTTGGCGGCGGCGTTGGCGGCGGCGTTGGCGGCGGCGGCGTCGCGGCGGCGCTGCTCCTGCTCGGCGCTGAAGCGCTCCTGCGCGCTGGTCAGGTAGTAGCCGATCATCTCCTCGTGGAACTGGTGCCGGTGGCTGGTGAGCAGCAGGCCGGCGAAGATGAACTTGCGCTCGCCCTGCATGGCGGCGCGCAGGATGTTGAGGCTCAGCTTCACGTCCGTGCTGTACTTCCAGGCGTCGCCCCGCGGCCCGCCGCCCTTGTCGGCCGGCGACGCCCAGGCTGCCTTGTCCGTGGGCGACGGCGTGGTCTTCTCCGACGGCGACGTGCTCGCCGACGCTCCCGACTCCTCCTTGCTCCCCTTGCGCGACTTGGACTTCTTCTCCTTGCCGCGCTCGGGCGCGTCGCCGTTCTTGCCGTTGGCCGAGTTAGCGCGGCCCATCTTGCCGTGCACCAGGCCGCCCAGGCCGCCCATGTTTTTCTTTAGCTTGATGCCCAGCGTCTTGCTGAAGCTGCCCAGCTTGTTGGCCACGGAGTCCGCGCGGGTCTTGTCCTTCTCCTTGCGCTGCTTCTCCTTGTCCTTGTCCTTGCCGTTCTTGCCATTATTGCTGTTGGAATTGCTGCACACCGAGTCCCGGTCCGAGTCCAGGGAGTCGGCCAGAGACTGCACGTCCTCCCCCACGGAGGCTGTTGGGGATTCCGGCTGAGCCAGAGGGGCCTGTGGGGAGCGGGAGAAGGAGACGGGGGAGGGAAGGTGGTTAGAGGTCCGATGGCCCCACGTGGGGCCTGGCTGACAAAGGCAGACCACCCCAGCGCCCAGGCTGCTCCCAGTGAGGCTCCTCACTGCGCCAGTCCAGGGAGCCTTTGTGGTTAGCTCGGGTTACTGGTATCCTGGAGCCCCGAGGTGGGGCTCTTGGGCAAGGTGCAGATATCCGCCCGGCCCTGAGCCCCAGAGCCTCTGGATGTTTTAGAATTACCCTGCCCAGGCTCTGCCCTTTTCAGCCCTGGCTAGGCAGGTCTGCGACTTGACACTGGTCCAGCCTGGCCTTCCTTGATAGAGTGAGGCGCCTTCTGGTAAGCGTGACACTCTGCCTGCATCTTTAGGTGTCTCACCTATTCATTCCGGGCAGGGGGTTGACATCTTGCCCTCACGCTGGGACAAATATGCCCTTAGTTTCAGGGATGACCGTTTAGTATAGGGATTCCTTTCTCAGGTTGGCAATGTGGAGTGTTAAACTGAGGATCCTGAGCCGGGACTTGGGCTTAGTAGGAAAGATGTTACCATTCCCAGAAAGGTCTCTGGAGGGCCTGAGGAGGGAGCCCCTCTGTGAACACCTTGGAGGAGGCCCACTGTCAGCCAGTAAGGAGAGTGAGGCCAGTGTGGGCACCTGGTCAGGACCATGGGGTAGGCGGGGAGCCTGAGAAAGGAGATGGGTGGAACCTACTGCAGCCCTGTGGAGGTTCCTTCTTGAGGGAAGAGCGAGAATTCAGACAGCTTCATATTGGAGATCAGGGACCTCTTGCTAGAAGCTGAGTGGCAAGAACTGGTGCCCACCCCTAGGTAGGCTTTTCTTGACCTCTAGGGGAAGAGCCTGGGAGAAAGCCCCATTGTTCTGTCCTTTCATTTTTGTTTCCTCCCTCGCCAAGCAGATCCAGGAGAGGGGTCCCAGAGACCTCCTGCAGCCAAGTCCCCAGAAGTAAGCAGGAACCATCCTCACCACCTCCCAGTCTGAAATGCCTTCCTTCCTCCTCCCACCCTGCCCTGAGTCTGGAAGAAAATAGAGGTTTCAAAATGGTTTTTGTTAGTGACAGAGAAAGGGGTTAGGCCCAGGAAAGGGGGGTGTGCTTGGTGCTGGGAGTGCCCATCCGTGGGAGCCCAGTGAGTAAGGAGCCCTGGCTCAAATGCCCTCTGGCTGGAAGGGTCATTGCCAGGCCTTGATTCTGACATGGGGGCCACCCTGGCTTGGCACTGTTCATTGCAGTGCAGAGCTGTGTCCCAGCCCCAGAGCCTCCTGATTGTAGATCTAAAGCTGCTGACTTCACACCATATGTGTGTACCAGGAAAGAACACCCCCAGCAACACTGGCATCATCCAGGCAGTTGACAGGTCACTGTGGAGGTGAAGAAGCATGACTCTGGAGCCCAGGCTGCCACCAACTGTCCCTTGTGCCCTCAGTAAAATGGGATATCAGTACCTGCCTCCAGGAGCTCTATGAAGATTAAATATAGGTAAAGGCTGATGTATGAAAACATCCTAAGCAGTGCCTGGCAGAGCCTGGCTACTACTCACTCTGTGTCAGTACCACCCTACTGCTTCCTCCTATCACTCCTTTAATACTGCTTATGAGCCCTGCCTCAGGGCCAAGTATAATGATGTCTAAGGAGGGCCTTTTTTTAAAAAAACAAAACACAAAACAACACAAATCCCTCATCAGATACTTAAAGTGAATCCTTAGCATCTGGAAGCAGGGACAGAACAGACTCTTCCTGGTGGAGGGGCCACGTGGTGGCGGGCAGCTCCTCTTCTCACTGCCCTCCCAGAGGAGGGAGGAGGAGGAGAGAGGGAGGGGGCGCTGAGGAATTGCGTTCCCGGTTCCCTGACTTTTCCAAGGACCCACACACAGTTTATAATTAATTCCGCTTGGCTGCAGCACATCGTGTTCCCATCTCGGCAGAGATAGTTTTGTGTTGTGACTTGCCTACGGTTTGTTTTCTGAGTGGGTGTGTTTATTCCTCTCCTTCTGGAGAAAATAGTGGGACCAAACCCCTCTCCCCCCAACCCCCCCCCCCACAACCATCCGCACATGGAGTGCGTGCCTACCTACAGGCACTCAGGCACGCGTGCACACATGCCCCAGGTAAACCCGAGCCACTTGTCGCCCTGGCCAGGCCGGGCGGACGGGGTGGGGGCGGGGGCGGGGGGGTGGTTCCCGGGGTGGGGAGTCCCGGTGGGGGAGCCCAGCCCTGGGCCAGCGTTTGGCAGATGCGCCCCCCGCCGGTCGGGGCCAGGCGCACGCCGGGCTCACCCGGGTCTCGGAGGGGATCCGGATCCACGTCACATTCATGTAGCTGTGCAGAAGGTTCAGCTTGGCTTCAAGAGACAGTATCAGGCTGGTGAGAGAAGAAGACAAGTGAGAGGCGCCCCGCGGGCCCGCGCTCGCCCGCCCGCGCCCCGCCCGCAGGCACGTCCGCTGTCCCCGGAGGAGCCCCGGCGGCTGCCGCCCCCGAGGGCGCTGGGGCAGGGGCAGGGACCGGGGAGGGGCTCACTGGGCCAGCCGGGCGTTATCGTTGTCGTCTTTGCCCCATTCCCAGTCCTTCCCGGGGTCCACCGCAAAGTGCAGGGGCAGCAGCTTGTGCTCCGAGTCGGTCAGGGGGATCACGGCTGCAACAGAAGAGAGAGACGCGCTGCCAGGCGGCCCCCGGGCGGGCCGAGAGCGCGGCCCGCAGCAGCCCCCAGGGAGGCCCGAGCGGGGTTCCAAGCCCAGGTGTCTCCTTAATCAAGGAAACGGAGTGGGGACGAACCCAGACCATCTGTGCCAGCAGGAGCGTTAAGACCACAGGTGTCAAACCGCTGCTGATAGTTTAAAGTTCGTCCTGTTTCTTGTGGACTTTGAAGAGCAGTTGGGCTCCTCATGCGGACTCTGCGAACCATTTGGGTCTGTGGGAAGACAGGCGCGGCGGCTGGGCAGCAGACAAACCCCGAAAACCGAATACCTGTTGCCGCTTCTCTTCTTCCTGAGGAAGGACCCGAGCCGGGCTCCCGGTCACCTCACAGCGCACACAGGCAGCCAAGGGCTGCCCGCCAGTCTGCTCATTTGTGAATTCGTTCAGATAATTCTTTAGCACTTCGAGGCGGCCGGTGTGTGTGTGTGTGTGTGTGTGTGTGTGTGTGTGTGTGTGTGTGTGTGTGTGTAGCTCCGGGAGCTCCCAGGTAACCACCACCACCACCACCACCACCACCACCACCACCACCATCACCACCACCACAGTCTCCTAACGCCAGGGCGTGATAAGCGGCCTGAAACGTAAACAGCAGGCTGCGGGGAGCCAGGGCCGCCTCCCCAAGGCGCGCCAGGAAGGCTTCCGAGGAGGTACCCCGGAGGCGGAGACCGCGAGGGGAGGCTGGCCCTCACTCAGGGGTTCATTCATCACACTCCCTCCCACGGGGTGGGGGGAGGGAGTCTTGGTCCATTTCAGAAAGGCCTGGGCGGAGTAGGGCGTCCACAGGGTTTTTATGCATCTGCTGGAAGCTTCTGAGCTCTTGTGGGACCCAGTGTTCAGCGAGAGCAAGGGAATAGCTTGCTGCTCCTCTGGGTTTGCCCTACCTCCGCCTCCTCACTGCTCCACCTCTCCTCCCCCCCACCCCCCACCCCCCACCCTCCGGTGGCCGCGAGCCTGGTGTCATTTACCATGATTCATGGTAAGGGTGTTACGGCAAGAACAAAAAGGCAAATAAGTAAATAAAAATCTACGACTGAATACCACGAATAGTTGACTTAATAAAAAACCTGCAAACACTGACTCACTGCTGCCCTCCAGTGTTGCTAAAGAGAAAATGTGAGCACAAATAATTCTCCACTCCCATATAAAGGAAACACTGCGTCGCTGGAGGGTTTTCTGTTTCCAGTCTCTGGGGACTGACAGTACTGTGCTCCAGTTTGCTCCAGTTTGGTTGGTCAAGGGCGGCTTGGTCGGCCCCAGCTCAGGCCACTGGGTTCTGCCCTGACATGGCCATGACAGGCTGCCCCTCCCAGGGCAGAGCTGCAGGGCAGTCACACTGAGAGGCCTGCACGGCTGGTTCAGGACCTGTCTCCCTTGAGTGGTGCCCAGGAGCCTGTCCCACAGTTCCACGACTCAACACAAGGGTGAGAGAGAGTTGGCTTGGCTTCCCATCCACTGGGAAGGGGTGGGGATGGCAGTAGATCCCTCTGTAGATACTTGCTAGGGCAGCACAGCTCCCTGGAGTGCTTGATAAAGGCCCTGATTCCAGGACTGCATGCCCATGGCCAAACCAGAGTGTCCAGGAAAAGGAGCCAAGGACTATATTATAATTAAGTATCCTCCGTAGTTTTTAAAATCATGCAAATTTGGAAAATATTGTCCTAGAGCAATAATCTGTTTGAAGTAGTTACTGCAGGTACAACTTGGGCAATTTGGGTCTGGCATCCACTCCCTTCCCAGGGAAGGGGTGCTACTGGGGGGCGTCTGCCCAGTCACGACTACATTTCCCAGCTCCCAGCACTTAAGAGGGAACAGGGGCCTAGTTGCACCCATGGCATGAGAGCAGAAGCACTGTGGGAAGTGCTGGGCAATATGGTCAGTCATGGGTGTCCTTCTCCCCACACCCCTCCCCATCCTCCTGTATGCTGAAAATGGTGGTGCTGTAAGATGGCATGGGTGAGCTCCTCACTCCCCCACTTGGGGATCTGCTCGCCAATCAGGAACACCTGTTTTAGACTTTTTTTTTTGGCATCACACTTCTCTCACTATGATTTTGGTTTATTTGTTTCAGATAAACCAACTAAAGTAGTACAGATCCACATGCCCCTCAGCCTCAACACCCTACCACTGGGCTCCTGGAAATTTTTATCCTCAATGGCCAGACCAGAACTGATTCCCTGGGCTGCCCCCTGTTGAGCATAAGGCTGAACTCACCTGAAGGTGCTAGAGCCTGATGACCTTTATAGCTGCACAGGCCAGGAAGGCCTTGACAACAGGCCCTCCCTGCAAGCATTAGCTGGTTTGGATGCCTCTGCCTCCCACTTTACATATTGACTTTTCCCAACTGGAAACCTGGCCTCACCCTGCCAGATGTGTAGTGATGTGGTGACTTGCCCTCTGGTGGCAATATCAGGAACAGCAAATGCTTTTCAAAATAAGCCAGCAAATTCTTTTTTTTAGGATCTCCTATCTTTTAACCTAGAAACACAGACACATTCCCAAAACCAGCCTGGATGTGTTTTCAGTACTTATTTTCCAAAAATTAATGGACACTTCTGGTTTCTGTTTCGGGGAGAGCATGGTGCTATCATTACAACAACAAGCTAGACAAACTGCAGATTCACAACTTTCCTTTAACCCATTAGAGAACAGAGGTCACAGGGCAAGCAGCCAAGTCCAAATCTAAGGACAGATGGGCACGTACAAGGAGAAATGGACATGATTTTCATTGAGGCAAACTTAGCTGGACTGTTTTAAAAGGATTCAGCTAAAATTGTTAATAAATTGGTAAAGGAAGAACGTAGTTTAGTGAAAGAATATTTAGAACCCTGGGGGCTACAGATATAAGGGAAATTCAAATGTACTTGTAGACCTCTTCCCATGGGATCCAACCTGGTGCTCACAAAAAGATTGGCAAGAATTCTGAGAAAGTATCCTTCATAGATCTTTCTCCCCATCTATCCTAAAGAACAAAAGCTTAAGTTGCAAAAGCAGGGCAACAAACACTGTTGACCTTAGGGCATTGGGGTCTTTCCCCAGTAAAGCTTGGGGTGGGAGGAGGAAATAAAAACAAAATCCCCCCCCCCTTTTTTTCCCTGGGGAAGGGGCAGGAACATGTGCTGAGCCCAAAATACAGCTGGAGGAGGTCACTTCTTTTCCAAGATCTGGAGACACAGTACCTGCCTAAAACAGAAGCTTAATTAGAATAACAAAAACATCACCCTTCAGGCTCCCATTGCCACACCCAGGCTAACAAGCTGCAAGTAATAGCAGTTTAGTACTAGAAGAGGGACAGGAGTTTGAAGAGAGGGTGCAGCAGACAGTGAGAAAAACTTTCTGGCAAAACACAAGATATCACCAGTGAAATCTGAAGGCCGAGTGCACTAAGGGTAACCAAAGCAGCAATGAAACCAAAACCTGCTTCAAGTCTTGACTAGACTGGTCCAAACCCCATGCTAAAGACCTAGCAAAAGGTAAGGCATGCTTAGTTCTGGCTTTCAACAGAAAACTGCTAGCATAAGAAAAGATAAGAAAAACAAACAAACAAACCAACATGTTGGTAAGAGATAAAGCATTTGAAGAACAAGACTCAGATATGACATGGGTGTTGAAACTCTCAGACATGGAATTTAGAATAATTGATTAAGAAGTTTAATACTCTAATAGAAAAGGTAGATACCATGCAGGACTTGATGATCAATTTCTCTCCAGTAGAGAGAAGAAATTTATAAGAAATTTATAAGAAGAAATTTATATAAATTCTTATAAGAATTTATAAGAAATTTTTCCATTTATCAAGTGGAAATGCTAGAAATGAAAAAAAAAAAACACAGTAAGAGAGATGAAGAATGACTTTGAGCGGCTGATCAGTACACTTTACACAGCTGAGAAGAGAATCTGTGAACACCAAGATGAGTCAACAGAAATTATCTAAATTGAAATGCACAGAGAAAAAGAGTTGGTGGAGGTCTACAGAACAGAACACACAAGAGCTATGGGGTAATACTAGACAGCCTAAGATCTGTGTAAGTGGAATCCCTGAAGGAAAAGAGAGCACAAGACAAAGGATATTTAAAGAAATAATGGCAGACAAGCTTTACACTGTGAATGACAAATTCCAGCATAGATCTAAGAAGTTAGGAAAAAAAACCAAGCAGGAAAACAATATGCCACTACCACCACCACCAAAAATATCCCCATACTTAGCATATTTAAACATATGAAAAACCAAAGACAAAATCTTAAAGGCAACAAGAGGAAAAAGACACATTGCATACAGAGAAACAAAGATGAGAAATTTAGCAGACTTTTCATGACAAAAGAGGTAAGCCAGAAGACAATGGAGTGACATCTTTAAAGTGCTGAAATAAAAAAAAAAAAACTGCTAATTCTATATCCAGAAAGAAATCTCTGAAAGATGGAGACATTCTTTCTCAAACAAAAATGAAAAAAATTAATTGCCTACAGAACTGTACTAGGAAAAAATATGTATATGTATATATACTGCACTGGACAATATTAAAGGAAATTGGAAATGTTTACAGGGAAGTAATATGCTGCCAGTAGAAACTTGGATTTCTATAACAAAATGAAAAGCAATAGAAATGTAATAAATGAATATAGAAATAAAACTCATTTTTCTTCCTTTTAATAGTTCTAAGAGACTAAGTAAGGTAAAGAGAGCAGCAGTGTATTATGTATTTATACATACATTTAGCGTATGTAAAAGTAAAATGCTTGACAGTAATGGTACAAAGGATGGGAGGAAGTGGTTGCAAATAAACTCATAAGATCCTTATACAACACGTGAAGTAGAATATTTCTTGAATAGAATATTTAATATAATAGAATCTAATTAATTAAAGATGTTTATTGTAAACTCTAGGGAAATCCCTAATAATGAAAAATGGAGGCATAATAAATCAATAGTGGAGACAAAAT